ATTTTAATGTCGATGTTCAAATCGACGGAAACAGCGTGAAAGCACTTATTAACAACGAGAAGTACGTCTCCGCCTCTGCTATGTTCTTGATCTTTCGAATAAATTTGATATTTTTATCAAGCATAAATTCGCCCATATGAAATTCACTGGAAAGCCATGTCCCTTATCCAAGTATGACGCTGGTCGAAAATATCGATTGAACACGAAAGCTCTTCTTGCTTGAAAAAAGGCTCCTAAAATAAGCAACAATAAAAGACACAGCTCGAAGATAGCATTCTTTCGCGCAATACGCTGTGTGAGTGACAAACTTTATAACTGGTCGTTCGCTGGAATCAGAAAAAATACGAGGACATTGCTATGAGCTTTTTTCTAAAACAATTGAGTGATTTTGCGTTCAATGCGTAGAGCTTGTTGGCAGTGAACGGTTTATCGTGGCCGAACCTAAAGGGAACACCTTGGGCCTTCGCGTGTTTTAAGTTTTAGCCGGGCAAGACGCACGCAATGAGCATAGTCGCGGCCGACTGAGCATCCCGTGCCCTTGAACTTGTAAGCCTTTTCCATAGTAATCTTTCTCTTACAGGAGGCTAAACCTCACCATACCAGGACTACACTTACCTTCTTCGCAAGGCCCCAAGCGGTAAGCTTTGTCAATGTACCCAGGCAGCACACCAATGTTGGACCGACATTGGGTCAACAATGGCAAACGCTGGCTCCGGAGGTTGGTCCAACATTGGTATTCTGGCCGAGCGCAACTTATTCCAATGTTGGCCCAACCATTGGCACCAACGTTGGGCCATCGTTCAACCAATGTTCCAGCCATCATTGGCACCAACGTTGGGCCATCGTTCAACCAACCTTTTAGCCGTCATTGGCGCCAACGTTGGGCCATCGTTCAACCAATGATCCAGCCACCACTGGCACCTTTTTTAGGCCATCGTTAAACCAATATTTCAGCCATCGTTGGCATCCACACTATGTCATTGGCTATGCCAATTTTGGCTTTCACACTAATTCAATGGCTATGCCATCATTGGTATAAAAGTTCAATCATTTAATAGGCCGTTATCGGCAGTCAAGCTGATTCATTGGCATGTCCCAGTGTTAATGCCATATCTTTAATGCTGGCTATGCAATGATGGCAATGTGTTTAAATCCTGGTTATTCCAACATTGGGTTTTAAGAACCCCTGGCCTGTTTCTTATTAGCAGCCCACTGCAAGAAAAACATTCTGGGCACAAATGGCAAGGTCCTCCTATGCTTTGTCTGTGCACTATCTTATCTGGCGAGCAAATGACTAATTCAAGATCAATTAATACTTTTTTCGGAACTTTTATTCAAAGGGGCTAGGGAGGAAGCTGAGCGGGGAGCCTATGCCTGGTCCTGGGGAAGGTCCTGGGGCGAGTCCTGGGGCTGGGGAGCCATTACGGCTTCCGAACGCCTCTTCCTGCAGCCTCCCCTGTCGCAAGACCCTGGCAGCCACTTCAGCATCATTTATAAGCGGCCGATTCTTCAATTGTTAGCTTCGCACTGATGGCATCTACGAAAAGATCCAAAGGTCAAAAATCAACGCTTTCAAACCCACATTGGTCTTATAAAGCACACTCCCAAGCAGCACTTCAACAAATGTTAAGGTTTGAGTGTCCCCCAAAAAGTCCCTCGCTCACAACTTTTCAGTCCTTGCGGCGTAGCACCCGTGGTAGCCGATGATCAGTTGTCTACGACGTCAGGGCCGAGGTCCGAACGTTGTGACGAGGCAGTTGACCGATGGCCGAAGGCTTGAATCAGGCCCCGTACGCCGGTGGCAGCCTATGACCAGGTGTCCGCCAAGGTCTGGGCCGAAGGACGTAGCGACGAGGCAGTTGGGCGTTGGCCGAAGGCTTGAGTCAGGCCCAGAACGTCTGTGGCACGGAGTGGCAGCGGGTATTCAACTGCGCCACGCATGCAGTCTTGTCTACCTCCGGAAGGTTGGCGCCCGGACTGCGTGAGAAATGGGTTGTGGGTCGGGCCTCTTGACGTCTGGTCACGCCGACGGAGGTCCGGCCTGGTCGCGTCTGCACCGTCCTTTGTCAACCGCCCGAATCCCCTCCCGCGCGCCTCGCATGCCGCCACCTCGTCTTCTTTCTCGTCCTCTTCGGCTGGTCGCGGGATCGCTCATCACACCAGACTAAGCCAATCATAATAATAATTGGGGTTGTGGGGATATTTATACAGCGTGTAGTTGGTCTGCCATTAAAGTTGCGACGAGTCACACGCTGTAGATGAGCAATTTAGCCAGTGCAGTACAACCGCTAGCCTGGGGTCTTTAACGTGCACCACGCACTAGTGATACACGACCGCACGCCGGTACGATGCTCATCCAGATTGAAACGGGCAGGGGTGGGGCTCGAACCCAGGATCCCTGGGTTCTGCAGCGCGAGCTTTCGCTCCACGCACGTCGAGCTGGGTGTGCGCTTCAGCCCACTCGGCCACCGATCCCCCCTACTAAGCCAATCAATTACCAACGTTGGTAGGCCACTGGCTAAGACAGGCAATTGGTGGCCAGCTTAAACCAATCGATTGCCAACTTTGGTAACCCGTTGGCTCTATTACAGCTTATATTTCTGAGGGCGTTGTCACTTCCGTAGTCAGTACTGCAGTTGCCGTATTTTGTACGCACTTTGAAGTCATTTTTGGGCAAGCAGGCATAATGCTCAGCTTCTTCTGTTATATGTTGCGTGATAACCTTTCTTTGCAGACTGAAATGCGCATCAGCTTTATGTCACCTCCTACCTCAAACATAGGATGTTCGAGATGTTAATTCAACGCAATTTTTTATTTGTGAAGGCATGTAATTGCTTAATCAGTCGCTGGATATTTGTTTAAGGTTTTATTTTTTTTGCTAAAATTATTAGTGCTTTTCATTTATTTTTTTAATTTTGTCCGGTTCAGTCTGAATTATAGGCCGCGTTTTGCGGCTCAGCAAAGCGGGTTGCCTTGAGATTTTCAAGGTCACATACAGCTGACAATACACCCGTGTCCTAGGTTGGGGAGGCAGGTGGAAATTTCGGTGTTGAACCCTGCCTCCCCCCCCCCCCCCCCCCCCCTCTTTGGAAAGGTTTCCCGGCTGCGTCGCTAAAGGGCCATAAGAGAAGAGGCACTATGCTTTTTGCCGTATAAACATATACACAAATCGAAATAAGCGTGCATTTTGTATTTCGTGTGGAATTTACTAAGCCTAACTATCAGTTTTGGGAAAACGCGTGTTAGTTATAGTCGGTGACAGGTGGTAGAAGCTCCTCCCATCTCTTTCCATATTTGTAGATCGAAAGATCAGGAGGAGTCGACCTCCTCCCCAGCGTTTATTTTTAACCTGTCACCGAACACGTTTTTGTTTTTTGTTTTTGCGTGGACGTTCAAATTTGCTACAGCTCGCAATGCATACAGCGTTCTAATTTAGTTGCTAACTTGCTCTGCGTGTGAAAACAGAAGAATCGTTTTCCCCGGAGGCATAGCTAGAGATTGTTCTCAGCGTGCGTGATCAGCACATTAAAATAACTAAGCCAATTATATATAACATTGGTAAGCCACTGGCTAAGACAGGCCAATGTTGCCCAGCCTAAGTCAATCGATTACCAATGTCGGTAATTGATTGGATTAAGCTCGCCAACATTGGCCTGTCTTCGACGATCGACTACCAATGATGGCAACTCATTGGCTAACATAGACCAATGTTGGCCAGCCTAAGCCAATTGATTACAAATGTTCGTAACCAATTGGCTAAGACAGGCCGATGTTGGCCAACCTAAGCCAACCAATTGCCATCGTTGCTAAGCCGTTGGCTGAGGTTGGCCAATGTTGGCCAGTCTAAACCAATCGATTGCCAACGTTGGTAAGCCATTGGCTGAGGTAGGCCAAAGTTGGCCAGCCTAAGCCAATCGATTACCAACGTTGGTGAGCCGTTGGGCAAGTCAGGCCAACCTTAGCCAGCATATTCCAGTGTACCACCAATATTGGTTCTGCGATGGCCACATTGGCCCAATATTGGACCGTTGTTTGCCAATTAAATACCAATGTTGGCCCGACGTCGTGTGCTGTCTGGGTACGATCCATGAACATTAAGATTAATGTGTTCTTTGCAAATATCAGTAATTTTCTTTTCTAAAACTGCCCACGTCTCCTGATCAAAATAGGCGGGCGCAAAAAAGAAACCAAAAGATTGGATTCACGAGACCTGTTCTCGCACTCATCACAATGCGATTTCAACTGTGATAGCACGACCAATGCAGTGGCGAGTTCGGGCTCTGCACGTTTATGACTTCCAGAGCGTTCACATGTTAGCCCAGTTAAGTCACCTTCTAACGGAGTCACGTGCTTTACCAGGTCATTGATGAATAGGTCCGTGCGGTTTTTTTCGCTGAAGACTATATTCTTTGTATTTCTTCTTGTCCACTCACCAGCTTCAAAACTGTATAATTAACCTTATTGTTCATAACCGCCAGCTCTGTGTTAGTTGTCCCCGGATTAGTTTCAATATCATCACTTTGAAGTAGCAACAACAGGTCGCCAAACTGTTTGATGAAAGTTCTAGTGCGTGTAAACAGAACAAGAAACACAACGTTACAGCTGAAGCTACGGTCTTCTTTTCGAGCGCCAACCTGCGTTTTGAAGAAACCGTAGAGCTACCCTGTGACAGAAGTGCATACTGGCCCAGCGTCAATATTTTGTTCAGGAGCTGCATTTGCACGCCTCGTGTTGTTGATGCCGCTGATGATAGCGCTAAAATGCACAACGGCAGACGTCCTGTGGTCGCGTGAGTGAAGGTTGTTGTAGACTCCGTGGCAGTGCTGTAATTTCGATCAACCACGGGTACATGAAAAACCTTGAAGTCGATGGTGGTGCCATTTTCTACGACGTTTTCCTGGGTGCCACAAATATATTAGTAATAAAACTTGTATATACTTTACTGATACCAAAGTCATTTTGTTCTGGGTAATACCAGGATAATCAACACTCAACCTCTATTCATAGTTTCCATATATTGTTCTGAATTTATTTGGGATATAAGGGCTTAACTTATACTATATCTAATAAAAAGACGTTCTGCCGAGGAACATTTCTGTAACATTATCCTTCTGCATTTGGTAGATGTGGAAGACGAGGAAAGATTTTTATAAAGGGAAGTTTACCTTTATATAGTTTCTGAACTAAAGCAAGTAAAAGTAAATTATTTCTACTGCCGTCACACTTACTGATCAATATTTATAATACTCATACTTACGCTCCTATCATAATTTAGCAAAGGGAATTGAGCAAAACGGGTTAGAATTGTTTCAGTTTTGAAGCACAGTGGTCCCTGCAGGTAAATGCAAGGAGAGATCACACATTTGCGAAAGTAGTTACGTATAGGTACCGATTAAAACCGACAATAAAAGGTGCCGTACATTCCACGAACATTAGACAAAATATAATCATTCATCTCGTTCAATCTGAAAGGTAAGAAGTTTGCATGGCCTTGCTTTACTAAACTTGTTTGAAAAGCCTGCTTACGCATCTTTTTTTTTTCATTTCATTAAATGGCTTTAGCTCCAGGATGCCATCTTCATTTGATCTTGTATGCCATCACTTCCACTCAAAAACTGGGTTCGTGCCTTCAAAAAAGGTGACAACATCTTCAAATAGCACCGCCAACCTCGGAAGCGTATAGAACAATTTAATTTTACCCTATGAAATTCTTCAAAGTTTTCGGCAGTTCTTCCAGAAATTGCCATACACAAGTACGAAGAAATGAAAGTTCAACATAATTGTCAGGCAGCAAATTAAGGCCGACTGACCGCATTTATTTAAAAAACAATCATAAAGCAACACATGCGTCGGTGCCAAATAGTGCTGACTTGACAGAAAGAATAGAAGTAAAATCATACCGTTATTTCTGGGAGCTATATACTTCACAAAAAAATAACTTCTAAGGCACAACACGGAAACTTGTGTTTCTTCTATATACAAACTCGGATAGCGGATACGAGTAGCGTGTTCGAGGAATCTGAACCATCAAAACATGTAGACCACAGGGATGCAAAAAAAAATATATACATCCTTTCTAGACGGTGTGAAGCCCTTTAAAATCCGTGGCGTAAAAACCACGATAACTTATTCCAACATTTAGTATCAAATACATCGTTTGACATCTGTCCACACTTCGCATTAAAAACGCTTTTCACACAGGCTGACACATGGGTGCTCCAGTGTTTACGCACGAAGAACAAGTTGCTTAAAAATCTTGGTGTTGCTTACATGCTGAATACAGCTAGTGAAACACAGCGACATTATTTCTCTGAAAAGCATATGAAGGACCAGCTAGAGACAATTTATGCTAATTGTTCAGAATACCGTGCCATTGCTTTCCCGAATTTTTTTAAAATTAATTAAGGCTCATGGCTCGTGGGAAGTGTACCTGATGCACTGAGACGTCACGGGTGCCTGCCTACCCTCGCGAACCCGTTTACATAATACAAGTCCGACCAGAGTGAGTCAGAGGATACTGGACAGCGTGCAGGCGCCTCTCCGGCAACTGCACACGCTTAGTCAAGTCCCCTCAGCAACCGTAGTAGGAAACCTCGTCGCGAACACAGTGTTTTAAAAATTCAGAAATGCCCTACAATTCGAAGGAATTGGTGGACTATATGAAATAATAAATTGATTCATATCATATCTTAAAACTTCCGTTTTCGGGGATGAAGATTGTAATCAATTCACTGTCCTCGCTGGTATTATATTCCAGATATTCATTCCCGTCAAGTTGAATGAACTTATGAATCGTGACCAGCACAGAAGAAACCAATTAGGACCTTTTTTGGTGCTCTACTTTTTAACTCGTACTACTATTGTACGTAGCTCCTGAATTATACCTGATGCGCCAACGCGAAAAATCTGACAGATGATGAAAGCACTGAGCATCTATCTCCCGTTAGCCGACTGGAGGCGACACTCAGTCACGTCGAAGTCCTGCACCCTTCAGAGCGCTTCACTGCCCGCCGTTTGCGTCGTAAGAGCGTGGGGCTCAGATGCGCGAGTACTCGTCCTGCTCCTCCTCGAGTACGGGCGGCCGCATGCTCTGCCTGGACAGCCGACTGGGGCGCCGGGTGCGCAGAACGTCGTCCTCGGTCACGGGGGACACCGAGAACCGGGACGGCCAGTAGCTCAGGTTCTGACCCCGGTGCACGGAAGAGCGCCGCCGGGACTGCAGCAGCGACGCTGGCGGGGGCTGCAGGCCGTCCTGAGACGCCGTCGGGGGATCCGGGTTGTCCTGCGCCAATCAGGCATTTCGGGATTGGCACAGTGGCACTGACAGTGGCACAGTTGCGCACTGGCACAGCGGCACAATGACACAATGACCCAGTGGCACAGCAAAGGATTGGCACAGCACCACCAACCTCGGTAGATTTTCACAGTGGCGGATTGGCACAGTGGCGGATTGGCATAGAGCCGAATTTAATTTCCTCTCAGGTATTTTTTTCTCAAATCGCCCGCAGGGAGATTTGTAAGAAAATACGAAACATCAGAATGCATCGTATTTAACGCTAAAAAATAGAGCAGTGGTCATCAGGCACGTAGCCAGGATTTTGCTTCGGGAGGGGGGGAGGGTGTTCGTGCCAAAATGCTGTAGGAAGGGGAGGGGAGGCCCCAGCAAAAGGGAAGATTTCGGGGGGGGGGGGGGGGGGGGGGGGGGGCCGGCTCTATAGCCCCCCCCCCCCCCCTTGTTACGTGCCTGGTCGTCATGTTAGATATCAAACAAAATCGTGAGTGTATTGAGAAACTTGGTAGGGTCCTGTAAGGTTATAACTGATATCATCCGGGAGCGAATTTCAGTGGGAAGATGATAACTCCAGTAAAACGAGTCTGAAGATGTTCGTTCTAAACATAGAGATGGTGTTTATGTGAGTTGTTCATGCATGAGTAACGATGGTTGGAAGCCAACAATCCTTCATTTATAGATGATCAATGGTAAAATGGGTGATGTGGAGAGGACAAGCGACATGCTTTGCGGCCATTTTTCAAGAAGAGGAAAAATATTTGTTGTTCGGTTATGCTTGCACGAACATAGCAGAGGATCAAACGAGAGGTTCTGTACTGACTTATTAATGAGGAATGAGTGTCTATGTAGATTCCAAATGAATTATGTATATTTATGATTGGGTCATGTGGCAGCGGAAAATTCCATCAAACTTGTTTCTCAGGATATTGATGATACCTCAGAATCACAAATTTTGTGTTAGCTTTCGAAGTGATCTAGCTCACGTGTGTTTTCCAATAAGATTTCAAGTGAGATTAACCCCAAGATACGTTTATGTGTAAGCGTTTTTTATTGTTTTCTTGAAAAGTGTAGTTATACTGTGTAAGAGTGTACATGTTAGTGAAATTTAATTATTTCGTAAACGTTTAATTTTACGTGTTACTCCCTAAACTATGCTTCGAGTCATCTTAGTTTATTATCTAACAGCGTAAAGCCTCCCCAGACTTCAATCGTTCTCTGCATTATACAATTATCGGCATATAACCTTATAGTGGATTGAATAAAGGCATGCAGGTCATTCACGTAAATAAAGAATCAATGTACAAAGCACGGTTCCCGGAGAACACTTGATCTCACAATTTGATGTAATTGTTTATGATAACGGAACGGTTAAAAAGAAAGTCTGAAATTCATTAAGTTACCTATTACTAAACTTTTAGCTATCATATGTTTAGCACGAGACAGACTGGTGTTATTTGTTATTGTTATTTGTTAATTGTCATTTCCAATAAAGAAAAACAATATGAATCTCTTTCCGGGAATGTGTGTTTTCGCTAACGTCGGTATTGAACTCGTAAAGCCGCGTTTCGTAAGAGTATGATTTTTTGGAAAAGACACTGGTGTACACATAAAAAGTGAATAACACAAAAGTAGCCAATATTACTCAATTTAACAATGTGTTATATGAAAATAATACACACTTGGACAGGATAAAGGCAGCGCGAAAAAACCGAAGGACGAGTCAAAGAATGGGCAGACCAAGCGCTGGATACTAGAAATTATAGTTAGCTACATTGGCCCCGGAAACACCTTTGGTAATAGGATGCACACACGTATGTTTTCTAGCGTCAGATTCTTCACCAATGTGTAGGGATGATAAAACATAAAGGCGATGATACAATATTTATGTTTACAAAGCGAAGTAAAGGGATTTCCACACTGGGGCGCAGGTGGCTGCATGCTTTTTATGCGAATCGTTTTATGCGAATCGGTTTTCAGGCGAATCGAAGGACACCATTCACGCACTGGAAAACGACAATACAATTTGTTTCTGAAGACGATCTGAGACTCGACATAGAAAATGTTCACTTGGCACCGAGAGAGAACGCAAAGTAGTCCCGGTATTGGTCGTTGGACCCCAGTTTGATCATATGTTTCGGGTTGATGTAAGCATTCTACTTCGACTGCTTGATTTTGCAGATGCGTTTTACGGAGGTTTCTGTTCTTATTCCAATATTATAGTTAGAATAAAACATGCACAGTATAAAAACAGTTTATTTTTAATTCGAACAGATTTTATTTTAAATGGAGGGTGAGAGGTAGACGAGTTGTCTTCAATTTGCGCTCATCAGGCACGACGGACAATAAATAACTGGATAATCGTACGGGTAAATTGACCAATTAGCTGAAACCTCTTAATTAGCTTTGAAAATATTCGCTTTTGGAGTCATGTTGGTATTGCAGTATTGAACGGCAATTACTATTAGATGCCAGACAACCTTAGTACGTTTGCGAAAAAAGTAATGGTTTTTTAGACATTTGTCGATATATATTTGCGTTTCTTCGCCCGATTAAAACATTGCGCTCAAGAAGAGCGTTGTAATCTGTGCCCACACTGACGCTCCAAAGAGTGGCGTCGTCGTTTCAGTCTAGTCGTCATTAACTTGGCAACGTGTCCTTCGTGGGTGCACCGACGACACAAGTGACAACCTGACTTAAACGTCTACGTCACTCTGCCAATTGCGCAAATTGGATTTATTTGCCTTGGCCTTAGTGTATGAGCTACAATGGGCCCAGTGAAGGGCACTCCGGTAATCGGTCGTTGACAGCGCCCATGAAACAGTGTGGTGGACGGTTGATCTTTTTTCTTTGTTTATTTATTGAGCCGTTTCAATAGTGCAGCTTTATTGCACTAACGTATTTTTAGAAAACATTCAGAACCGCCCATGCTAATGAATTGATATGGTAAGACAAAATAATTGTTGGCAGGACTTGATGCGTTGTTTCTGCGCGCTGTCCGAGAATTGGGCAAGAAAAGGCGAATAGTGATCCATTAATATGTCAAAAAAGTTATTACCTTTTCGCAAATTCTTTCAATTTATCTGTCCATTTTAAAGTATTTGCCGTCAATAGTGCAAATCCAACATGACTCCTAAAACCAATATTAAAAGGTTAACTAAAATATTTTAGTTGCTTAGCTTTAGTTAACTTAGCATGACGAATGTCTTCTCATCTAATTCCGCTAGATTGATAAATGCATGATAAAGACGGCACTCGACTTACTCTCAACTCTTTTTTTATATTTTCGGATTAAAGTAGAACATCCTGTAAAACATCTCACGGTAGAAAATTGCCGAGCCCTAAGCTACATTCACTCGAAAAGGCCGGAAAACTGCCTTTGTCGGGGGGTTATATTAGCATTGAGTTGTTTTCAGGGAGTATTTTTGCATTTGATACCTGCGAAGTCTGTAGTCTGCGCTAGTCAGGGTCTTGGTTTCTAATACAATCAATGGTTAAAGCCACTTATTCTAAGACAGCACGATTCATAACTTCAAAGAAACCTGACAAAATTGTAAATGCTCCTGTCAGGAAAGTGTAGGGCCTGTTCGGCCAGCCCCTACATCACAAGTTTGACATTTCTGATGATATCGTCATCTGCGCTAACACTTGCGACACGTGACACAAGAACAATACTTGACCCAATATCCAAAAAATTATCTTGCCAGATTGCTTCACTTCTGCATTGCAATGTACTGCCAAGGGCTCTCGGAACCTGAACCTAAACAGATATAAATGAGAGACTGAAAACCCACGTAGGGAGACGCCGGTGAAAGCGGCTTTGGCAAAATTGGCTGAAGGCAGCGACGAAGTTATTGTTTTATGTCGTTTGTTTTATAAACCCCGTAAAAACTTATATGTAACATTTAATTTACATATACCAACTTCCACACCCTCATAGCACAAACATTCCCCTATGAAATGGTATATTCTATGCATGTATATGAATAAAAAATACTCATATGGAAAGCGCTTTGTTTTGCAGCTAGAATTCTAATAAAGTCCTAAACTAGCAGACGGCACCTGCGTTCGGCTCGCAAACACTAACCCTTCAAGCACTTTCTGTGCAAAAAGCAAACGACGCTCTCGCTTGGTTTGATTGGGTGATCGAGTGGGTAGAAGCAACGGTGGCTAGCCTTTATATCTATACACTAGCCTTCCAATAAGAACTCGATTCGGTAACGTCATTGTGCCCACTGCGCAAGCAGACGAACTTGTTCGCCGCTAATGGTTTGCAGCCACTCCGGTGAACTTACGTAGGCGTGCAGTCCAAGGGCGCACTTGCTGGCCCTGCGCTCGTAGCTGTTGAGCATGTTGCTGACCATCTGGCTGGCTCGGCGTCCTTGGCGACGGACTCCGCTCTCAGGGTCTAAACAGCTCGTGTCGCCGTGGTGCGTGTGGGCATTCAGCTGCGGCAGCGCTCCCATTGTCAGGCGACGCGCCAGGCTCTGTTGAGACAGCGAAGTCACCCCCCACTGAGGTCAATCGAAACACTTCGACTTACTAGCTCCGCACTCTAAAAAAGCGTATTCAAATTCAAATTCGTTTATTTTGCCACAAACAGTACATTTGTTACAGGGGCACTAGAAAAAAAGCTACAGGCCTGCAGCTTGGCGAGTCACAGCGCCCCAATATAATTACACGCCTCGTCACATAAACGACACCCCAAAATTTCAGTTGGACGTAAATCGCACTGACGTTGAACCGACACTACCAAATTTTACGAGTGGCTTGATAGCCGAGTTGTACAACTTATTGACTGACTGTAAAAAATTAATCGCGGTTTTCTTGGCTCTACCACAAAGCCTCTGTCTTTTGTTCTCTGTAGACTTTGATACGTACTTCAGCTGTTTAATATGCTATATAGCACCGTCATCAAACCTCTCGCAAAGTTGGGGCAGTTAGTTTGACGTCAGTACGCTGTACGTCGACCTCAAGTTTTGGTGTGCCGTGTATATGACAAAAGGTGTAAAAATATACCCTTTTTATAGTGCGTAGGCCGTGCAGAAAGCGGTTAGAACCTTTCCGTCCATTGACAAAGAGTTCCAGCAGCCGCTTCACTTGCGGTTGATATCAGTGAACTACTGCTCCAATAGCTTGAAATGTATTTGCGTCCACGCGTACATGAACTAAGGCAGTCTAGATTTGTTAGTCCTAAGAAAGTGCTATAGGAGTCTCTAACCCAAAAATCCCTAACCAACCAAACTATATTCGAGTTGGCATCTTGCAGCGCGCAATACTATGAATTTAGCGTGCTTGTGTCCCAACTTGGGGCACTAAAAAGAACGGATGCACTTAGAAACAATCGTCCGTTCCGGAACTCCTTTTTGTAGCCACCTCGCGATTGAAGAAAGGGTGCGCTCACCGCAGACGGCGGCTGGTTGGCCACGTGTCGAGTGACTGTCTGGTACACGTCGTCGTCTTCGGCATCCTGAAAGGCAGCGACAACGTTAGTTCGCCTGCACCGGAAGACTGTTTTCTACACTTAGGCAAGATCTGCGGTGCCAAACAAGACCAGGCACAAACAAAGAAACAAGGCCACGCTGAACACTTTAGAACAAATTTCGATACGGTGTACTTTAAATTAGATCATTAAGATAAAGTATTGCGTTAAGGTAGAATCTATTTGGTAAAAAAAAAAAAAAAGCATAGCGCACAAATACGTTTACGAGTACCAAGAAAAAATTTAGCTTTCTCGCGGCTTCGACAGCCCCTGTCAAGCTTGTGTTTTTGGTTCTTCGGGGCATTTTTCACAAATAGGGTACACTTTTTGCTCAATAGGTTAGGCTTGCTCGAAATCAAATTTGTTTCATCTTGGCCTCGTAGTATGTGCTGCAGGATATGTAATACAGCAAAAAAAAACTGCATCGGCTTAGTTTTTTAGTGTCCTTCGCGGAGACAAAATTGCATAAAGCACTGTACGCAATAGGAAGTTCCGTTCTACAATCGATTACAATCCTTCGTAAGTGATCCCGTGCCTAAGGATTGAGTGGCCAAGAGTCCTAGGTTCAGCAATCACAATATCAATGGTTATTTATCTAGAGACTGGATCTCAGTACAATTAGAAATTTTTTTCTGTATTAAAATTTCGCTTGTATTGTGGGGTCGTGTGTTCTGTGTTCCTGTAGGTAATACAATTATTATCTTTACAGTCCTCTCATGTACCTAAATGTGTCGTCATGTTCCTAATGTATATTATTTATTTGCTTTATTTGATACTGTGATGAATTCATGGTGTTATTTTTTTTCTCGATGCTGTTTTTTATTTTCTTGTCTCATTTAAAAGCTTGAAAACTGTCAATATTAACACTTGATATGTAGTATGTTGCCGTGCGCCATTTGTAAGGCTGCAGAGGCCTTGTCAAGTCAAACTTTTGACTTTTTGCCCCTGCAGCCGACATCAGTTTCTGATGTGAAATAAAGGATTGATTTAATGATTGATTGATTTAGTTTAGGGTTTTGTTCTAGTGTAAAGAAACCCAGGATGAGGAATATTGTTACATTGACACGAACGACAGACGGTCAGGCATGAAAAACGGTATGACCTAAAGATTTAATGAGGGCGAATTTGTGTCAGAAACGGAAAAGAAGAACACACGTCAAGAAAGCAGCAGCGAACAGCGACGGCGGCAGCGGCAGCAAGCAACGGTGTGTCGGCGTAACAGCGGACTGTCGCGACAGAAAATCTGCGAATGAATCGCCAATACGGCGCTCGGCTACGGCGATCTGCTATACTCGCCATCTCAAATATTCGGCTTAGAATGTTCGGGAAAGAGCGAGGACGAGACTGACTCGGCAAGGTCATTCTGGCCGGGATACGGTCCATTCGACACATGCGCACTCGTCACAGGACGATTGGTCACAGAACGATTCGCCACACAGGAACATTCGTCATAGGATGACTCGTCACGCGGCCAACCGGTTCTACAATAGTTCGTCCCCCCAAAAATGTATTGTTCAATTTGGTTCGGGCGGACAACATGCCTCACCTCATATCATAGTATGTCTTTGGCTTCTGAAAGGCGAATAATTTGTAACAAACGTTTTAGCTTCTGGTTCGGTCCCGAACATTGAATGTTGATTCGGCCTAACAAAGTAGGTCACCTCTTCTCTTAGCACGTCTTTCGCTTCTCAAGGTCGAAGAATTTGTAACAGACATTTTAGCTGCTGGGTTCGTCCCGAACGGTGAATGCGGAGACCATATAAAAGCGACCATTTTTTTAACTCAGACTACATTCAAAAGGATGGAGGTGATCGCAACAGAGAGAGGTGGAGCCATGCAGCTGCACGAGGGGTACTCGGACACATGCAGCAAATAGAATTCCGATACTTATCGGTTTTCTCGAAAAGGTGTATACAAGGCAAAGTAAAAACTTATTTGGCTGCCAGTCGGATTATTGCTCGTTCAAGCCAGCAACTTAGGTAAACCTGCTGAAGAGTCGTAATATGATGAAAGGAAAAGCGGATGTGTAAGATTAGTTTTTCTAACCATTGGTTTATGTCACTGTAAAATTTGTGAAACTCCTCATCAGGGAATGTGGGCGGTTGTTGAGATTTAAAATTTACTATCGCCCCCTGCCCGATCGATGTGACCAGTTTCCCGCATGACGAGCCATCCTGTGACAAATGTTCCTATGTGACGAATCGTCCTGTGACCAATCGTCCTGTGACGAGTGCGCATGTGACGAATCGTCCTCATCCCATTCTGGCCTCCTTATCTTTTACACTCGGGCTACGAGTATCCGCAGACCTTCTACATAAACGGAAAAGCGTATCTTCTCGATCGTGCACGCAGCAATATCTCTAGCATCGTGTTGGTGCTAGAGAAAATTAGGAGATCTAAAAAAGTTACTATATTTTCACTTAAGATTTACCTGGCAGGGTGCAAGATAGTCAAACCTTTTACGGCTTCGACCAATTGAGAGTGTAGTAGGCATAAAAATATCAGCAAAGATATACTATTTTTAAAGTTATTTTTAAAGTTGCGCGACATCTATAGGCTAGAGCACCAATTGTCCGAGTATGCTATTGCTCGAGACACAAGGGCTGCACTTGTTTATAGTGCCGATAACAACTGCAGCGTCAGCGTTCGATGGAGACTTGGATTCAATCATTGGCTTTGTGCCCAAGAAATGGTGACCGGAAAATTGAAAAAGCTCTGTTGATTTAGACTCCGGCTACCACAAAATGGGTTTTAAGGTCTGCATTGAAATAACCAAAAAAAAAAACAAAAAAACACTGACAAGCTTTTCAAAATTTGGGTATCCGTTATCTCGGCCGAGTGTGTTTCTACCGATATCTTACGACTGGGCAGCATCTGGATCGACTAATTTTGTAAAACGTATCTAGCTATTTTAGTGAAAAACCCAAGACAGGTAATGACAGACGACGACAAGGAAGAGAAGGATAACGTCTCAAACACAGCTAAACCTTTATTGAGGACAGGATTCCTTATATAGGGTTGAAAAAAGAAAGAAGGAAAGGGAACCCTTCTTCACATCACCTCTCTCCACAAAAGACACGGCACCGCTTCTCCCCACAAAAGACACGACACCGGGTCAAACCAACAAAAGAACTGACAGCACCGAAGAAGACACATCATAAAAAACATGCTGGGGAAACTACAGATTGCACTGGACCTTTCACTGAGAAAGTCAGCTATAAGACTACACATAGGCACAAAACAACCAATGTTAAGAATACCATTAGAGATTTATAAATCGCTTCCATTCCGCTATCTAAAGACAAAGAAGGCATGTTCACTGTATTCCCATGCTTCGTTATTGCGATTGACTCTTTCAGCAGGCGCTTGTGGTCGTCTTTTTCTGTTACAGTTGTGGCTGTAGAGTTCCTTAAAGGAACGCAATTCCTACACTCCTGAATATGCTTGGATACCTCGGAATACGGATCCTTGTACAAGGATCCATATTCTTATAGCTGACTTTTGGAATATGGATCCTTGTACAAGGATCCGTATTCCGAGGTATCCAGGCATATTCAGGAGTGTAGGAATTGCGTGCCTTTATGGAACTTGATAATTACAATTTTAACAGAAAAAAACGACCACAAGCGATTTCTAAATCTCTAATGGTATTGTTATTATTTTTTTTTTTTGGGGGGGGGGGGGGGGGTCTGTGTGTAGTCTTATAGCTGACTTTCTCAGTGAAAGGTCCAGTGCAATCTGTAGTTTTCCCAGCGTGTTTTTTTTACGATGTGTCATCTTTGGTGCTGTCAGTTCTTTTGTTGGTTTGACCCCATTGTTAGAAGTACGGTGTCGTGTCTTTTATGGAGAGAGGTGGTGTGATGAAGGGTTCCTTTCCTTCCTTCTTTTTTCAACCCTATATAAGGAATCCTGTCCTCAATAAAGGTTTAGCCGTGTTTGAGACGTTCTCCTTCTCTTCCTCGTCGTCGTCTGTCATTACCTGTCTCGGGTTTTTCACTAAAATGTTTAATATACACCAGCTCACTTGCACCCTTACGTTCTGCTCTAGCTATTTTCCCGGTTGTTACGAGTCTTAATTTTATAACAACCCGCTGAACTAGCCAGAGACACGAATTGATAAGCCCAGATAATGATAACACTTTGTTTTGTCATTCATCTTACAGCTCACAGTATTTGCGTATTTGGACGGAATATTCCTTCTTGTGCGCAAACGTAAATTGAACAAAGTCAATGAACCACTATTGCGTACATTTCGTCACCACCTTATTAAAATTCCTTCTCTTTTTTGCATATTAATTATATATCACCTTTCTTTTTGTTTCGTTAGTGTAGCCAAATGAAACAATATATCTTTAATAATTTGTATCGAATTGACACCTTGGTATCAACATAAATTGTTGCGACTTTCTGTGGTTGTCGAGAGGTGGGTGGTCTGGTGGTAAGTGTGCTGTCTCTTGCTGTATTCAATAGCCATTATTATCTTGTGGATTGTGTGGCGTCTGCTGTTGGGGCGGCGTGTGTTGGTGGTTAAGGGGACCATGAAACAATTGTGAAACCACGTTTCATCCACTGCACGTCATAAAAAGTGTGGGAAAACACGCAAAAATACAGCCAAAAAAATTTTTTAGCCATTAAGCTTTTAAAAGAAAATCTGACTCTTTTATATTTTCTTTCCTTCGAAAGCTCTCTGACTTTTGAGAGCGATGCATCCGCGGTGCCAAAGCACGTCACCCAAATCCACGTCGCCGATTGGATGAGAACCTACCTCACCAGGACCGCGACCATAAACAATAAATCTCCGGCGAATCTCTGTTAAAAGTTGTGTTAAAAATATTCTGATTCACATTTTGTAGCCTAATTAGCGATGTGATGAAAATTGCCGAATTGTTTCATGCTCGGAGCCATGCCCGATCCGTCGTGTGGTACACGAAGCAGGAGAGAGATCAGACTGCGCCTGCCTACAGCCGCCAGTCTGCTAGAAAAACGTG